TTTTCTTGATCAGCCCACAGGGTGTATGGCCAGCTTAAAGACCAACTCCATGAAAATTTAAAAAAATCACCCTTGCAGTGGGTCCTTTTCAACTGGAAGGATTAAATGTTCATTATGTCTAGGGTCTATGGGTGGAGCCTTGGTGTCATCACGTACAATACAGGGACATGAACCCTGTATTGTACGTTTAAGAAGCTGAAGTGTGACTGGCAGGGCTGAATTGGGGGGGGGGGGGGCACTTGCCCCGAGCACTGCATCAAGAGGGGCTTAGCAACATAGCAACAATAGCTGAAGCGTCGCTCAGAAATGCTTTTTCATGGGGCAGGTGGGCAGGCAGAATGCGGTCTCCCCCCTACTTGTTTCTCTGGTATTTGCAGCAGGTGCCGCTTACCTTTTAGGCTTCATCGGGTGGCAGTGGCACTTAGGGCAAAGGTACCCAGTGCGGGCAGGGGGTGTTACCCCCAACAGCATGAGGAACGGGTGTGATTCAGAGCTGTGGGCTTCCCTCCTAGTCCTGCTCAGTGCCCAAACAGCCTATACCTTTTTTGAGTGAGACTGCCCAGCTGCAGACTGCAGTAAAAATTGTAATGGGAGAGCATGCCTAGAACTGGAAGACATTTATTAGTAGGGGGGATTTGTGTGCAGAAGGCCCTGGACTAGAAAGGTGGGGGGTGCAGAGAAGGAACTGGATGAGGGGAGTGCAGAGAAGGTCCTGGTCTGTGAGGGGTGCAGAGAAGGCCCTGGACTGTGGTGGCACTTAGAGCAGGAGTACCCAATGCGGGTGGGGGGTGGCACCCTTGGCAGCAGGAGGAGTGGAGTGATTCAGTGCTGTGAGGTTCCCTCCTAGTCCTGCTCAGTGCCCAAACAGCCCATGTGTTTTTCTGAGTGAGACAGCCCAGCTGCAGACTGCAGTTTTCATGGGAAAATCTTCCTCAAACTAGAAGGCATTTTTTAGAAAAGGGGATTGTGTGCAGAAGGCCCTGGACTAGGAAGCTGGGGGCGCAGAGAAGGAACTGGATGAGGGGAGTGCAGAGAAGGCCCTGGGCTAAGAGGGGAGTGCAGAGAAGGACAAGGACTAGGAGGGGAGTGCAGAGAAGGACCTGGACTAGGGGGTGCAGAGGAGTCCATGAACTTGGTGGGGGGGGGGGTGTGCAGACGAAGCCTTGCACTAGGAAAAGTGGGGTTGGTGTGGCAAAGGCCTTGTATTGGGGGGGGACAAAGGAGACTCTGGACTAGGTGAGGAGGTGCCTGGAGGTCCCAGACTACAAAAGAGGGTGTCTGGAGGCCCTGGACTAGGATAGCAGGTGTCTGGAGGTCCTGAACTAGGACAGCAGGTGTCTGGAGGTCCTGGACTAGGACAGGAGGAGTGTAGAGGCCCTGGACTAGGAAAGAGATCTGACAACACCAACAGTTTTGGCATGGCAAAACTATATTACCAAATACCATTTATTTTAGGGGATGCAAAAAAATGACTAGCCCCGAGTGCCAGATGTGCTAGCTATGCCATTGGTGACTGGAGTAAGTTGCAGTTTTGAGAAAGCGGTTGCAGTGCTACAGGGATGTTACTGAAGCAGGCATAGATGATTTGATTTTTTTTTCCTACTACCAACCTCCTGGAAGAAAAGAAAATCGCATGATTCTCTCCCATCAACATAGTCAGTTGACTAGCACAATGATTACTGCTAGTGGCTATAGCCACAGGCAGTAATCGTATGTACAATATCTGACAGGCTGGTTGTACCCAAGTCGATTGATGTATGGACTTTGATACATCAGCCTGCCCACACATGGATTGAATCTCGGCTGGTCTCTGCTAAACCGGCTACATTTTGATCCATGTATGGCCAGCTTTACTCCTCTCCTTCTAGACTAAATGACCAATTAACCCTTGAGGTACTTGGAGGAGGGGCTGCAAGGGTGGATTTTTTTTATTTTCATGGAGTATTAAGAGCTTTCAATGTGCCACATCCAATTGAAATTATGAAAAAAAAAACTGCTAGACACCTAGACAGTATAATGGCGGACTTTATAGGCACATGAAATGATGAGGATTTCTTACTTGGGGCTCCTCTTTTCGCTTTTTTCTGTTGACTGAATACAGCTACTGATAAGAATGGAATAATCCGTACCTGATTAGAAGCTATGGCATTTCAAACATGAGGAAGTTTGAAAAGTTTCCTCCCTTTTGTACTCGATGCCATTTATGTAGGTATCCACAGTAAGCGTGCCAGTCTCTTTGATACAATTTGCTTGTGCCAAGAAAATATCCCCCACACCATTACACCACCACCAGCCTGAACCATTGATACAAGGCAGGAGGGATCCACGCTTTCATGTTGCTTATGCCAAATTCTGACCCTACCATTTGAATGTCATAGCAACCAGTCTGCCCATTCTCCTCTGATCTCTGACATCAACAAGGCATTTTCATCCACACAACTGCCACTCACTGGATATTTTCTCTTTTTTTGGACCATTTCTCTGTAAACCCTAGAGATGATTTTGCGTAAAAATCCAGTAGATCAGCAGTTTTTAATTACTCAGACCAACCCATCTGGCACCAACAACCATGCTACGCTCAAAGTCACTTAAATCCCCTTTCTTCCCCATTCTGATGCTCAGTTTGAACTTCAGAAAGTTGTCTTCACCACATCTACATGCCTAAATGCATTGAGTTGCTGCCATGTGATTGGCTGATTACAATCTGTGTTGCCAAGCAATTGGACATGTATACCTAATAAAGTGTCGGGTGATTGTACATCTTAGTGGTCATACTCGAAGATTTTTTGTTTTATTTGCCCCTGAAGCAAAGGAATTACAGAAGCTAGTAGCTTTCCTTGTTTCAGTTTTTAAAAGGGCGGAAACACTGATCTAAGTGAAAAAGAAAGCAAACCTGATAAAATATCATTAATTTCATTCTGAAATACTAATTCCCTGTCTATTATAATGACCCACTAGTTTCTTCACTTTTTTAGCCATAAAACCCGGGACAAGTGAAAAGACAAATAAAAGTCCTTATTCACATTTACAGCCAATATAGCATAGTTAACAAAATAAAATTACAGAAAATTTGAAACATTGAAACATTCTTTGTTTGATTAGTTATTTATTTTTTGTTTATATGTTATAATTTATTTATGTATTTATTTATTTTGTAGAAGAAGTGGTGTACACTTTTTTATGTGAGCAGCACTGTTATTTAGCACTTTATTACATAGTCTGAAGGCAAGCGAAATAGGTTTTTGGCCCACTATATAGCATGACTAGTGAGACATGATGACAACTAGATGAATAGAATTTGCAGAATGAAAAGTTGTCAATGACAGGCTCCATGTTTTCTCAGGAAAACTTTTCATTATGTAAAAGGATAGATCTTTTGAATTAAAAAAAAAAAAATCAAACATTTATCATTTTGTTACCACACATTTTATGATTGCAACTTGAGAAGAACCTCAAATACAGCATTTTAATGTAAAAATCAAATAGGAATAAAAATATTCATATCTGCCAGTATTTCAGGAAGTCTTACCGGAATGCGTTTTGCTTTTGCCATATGCATTTTACACCCTGAAAGATTTTTTTATTAACTTGTTCAGTGTAAAAATCACATTTCAATTTACACATGATAATTATGGTTTCAGCAGAGACAGTCTGTATGCAGGAAAAATGTTTATAATAAGAGTTGCATTATAAAGAAAAAATGTGGCAGGTGGCTTAATTAAATGGCAACATGTACAATGATTTTGTTCTTAATAACCGGGGTGTTGTGGTATTTAACGCTTGCGAGTGTATACACACTGCCTTATCTGCATGTTGTCAAAATTAGATCTTCTGGTTATCATTACTGAAGCTTCTAACTGTTGCTTGAATTCATGGCTTATTATTGAATTTCGTTTGTAGCATACTGCATTATTTGAACACACAAAATTTTATTTTATTTATTACGGGTACTTATATAGCGCTATATATTTGCGCTGTCAATTTATGCAGCGCTTTACATATATATTGTACATTCACATCAGTCCCTAACCCTCAAGGGGCGTACAATCTAAGGTCCCTAACTCATATTTACACATATGGTCCTTTATTATTACTATTATTACATTTAGGCTGAACTCAAGGCAAATAGAAAAGCATTTAATTCAGGCATGTATCAATTATCATTTGAAAAATTGCCAATACTGTATATGCAACACATTCTATCTACAGTATATGTTAGCTTATTATAGTGCTCTACATAGCAGGCCCCTTAGCATCATTCAGTGCTGTTAACAGGAGGAATAACATCATCCATGTGTTGATAGTTCTTACTATTCCATCAGCAAGTTGTGGTATATATATATATATATATATATATATATATATATACCGTGTTTTTCGCTCCATAAGACGCACTTTTTTCCCCCAAAAAAGGGGGGGGGGAAATGTCAGTGCGTCTTATGGAGCGAATATAAAGCAGCCGGTCCGGTATTTCTGCCGCCACCATGTCAGAATACCGGGCTGGCCGCTCAGCTGTTCTCTCCTGCGGGGCCTTACCTGTTTCTCGCTCCAGCGCTGTACAGTCTTCCCGCGCTGGCTTCTGTGACAGCCGGGTGCCCACTGCACATGCGCTTCGCTTTGTGAATGGTCCGGTGTCTTTTGGACACGACAGGTCCCAGAAGGCACCGCGCTATTCACAAACAAAAAGCGCTTCTCGCGCATGCGCAGTGGGCACCCGGCTGTCACAGAAGCCGGCGAGGGAAGAAGAGGGAAGGACAGCTCCGTGAAAGTGGGAGCGGGTACCTGTCAAATTCAGGTACCCGCTCCCCCTCCCTCCCCAAAGTTCCGCAGTCTCTGGTAATCTCCTCTACTGTCTGCAGTCTCTGGTCATCCCCTGCACTGTCTGCAGTCTCTGATTGTTCCCTGCACTGTCTGCACTCTCTGGTTATTCCCTGCACTGTCTGCAGTCTCTGGTCATCTGTACTGTGTCCCTGGTATTTTCCCTGTACTATGTCCGCAGTCTCTGGTCATCTCCTGTACTATGTCCGCAGTCTCTGGTCATCTCCTGTACTGTGTGTCCGCAGTCTCTGGTCATCTCCTGTACTATGTCCTCAGTCTCTGGTCATCTCCTTTACTGTGTCCGCAGTCTCTGGTCATCTCCTGTACTGTGTCCGCAGTCTCTGGTCATCTCCTGTACTATGTCCTCAGTCTCTGGTCATCTCCTGTACTGTCCGCAGTCTCTGGTCATCTCCTGTACTGTCCGCAGTCTCTGATCATCTCCTGTACTATGTCCGCAGTCTCTGGTCATCTGTACTATGTCTGCAGTCTCTGGTCATCTTCTGTAGTATGTCCGCAGTCTCTGGTCATCTCCTGTACTATGTCCTCAGTCTCTGGTCATCTCCTTTACTGTGTCCGCAGTCTCTGGTCATCTCCTGTACTATGTCTGTAGTCCATTGGTTCAGAATTTTTTTTTTTCTTGTTTTTCGCCTCTAAAACCTAGGTGGGTCTTATGGTCAGGTGCGTCTTATGGAGCGAAAAATACGGTATATATATATATTGCATAGTTAGTCTGGCTGAAAAAGACAAAAGTCCCATTCAGTTCAACCATTAAAAAAAAAAAGTTGTAATCCTATACCCACAGTTGATCCAGAGGAAGGCAAAAAACCCAGCAAAGCATGATGCAATTTGCTCCTGCAGGGCAAAAAAATTCCTTCCTGATCCCTCTAGAGGCAATCGGATATTCCCTGGATCAACTTACCTATAAATGTTAGTATCCAGTTATATTCTGTGTATGCAAGAAAAAGAATCCAGGCCCTTTTTTTAAAGCAATCCCTTGAGCTGGCCAGAACCAACTCTCCACAATATTCCACATTTTCACAGCTCTTACTTTGAAGAAACCTTTCCCGAGTTTGGAGATTAAATTTATTTCCTCCAGACATAAAGAGTGTGCCCCCTTGTCCTCTGTGATGACCTCAGGGTGAATAGCTCTACACGAATTCACTATATGAACCACTGATGTACTTATGCATGTTGATCATATCCCCCCTTAATCTCCTCTTCTCAAGAGAGAATAAATTCAGTTCCTCCAATCTTTCCTCATAGCTGAGCTCCTCCATGCCTCTTATCAGTTTGGTTGCCCTTCTCTGTACTTTCTCCAGTTCCCCAATGTTCTTTTAATGAATTGGTGCCCAAAACTGAAACTGCATACTCCAGAGGAGGTCTTACTAATGATTTGTACGAGGGGGTAATATGAATATCTCTCTCTCTCTGGAGTCTATACCTCATTTTAATACAAGAGAGGATTTTCCTAACTTTAGAAACTGCAGCTTGGCATTGCATGCCATTATTAAGCTTGTGATCTACCAGAACTCCCAGATCCTTCTCCACCATTGACTCCCCCAGTTGTACTCCCCCAGTATGTATGATGCATGCATATTCTTAGCCCCCAAGTGCATAACCTTCCATTTATCAACATTAAACCTCATTTGCCACATAGTTGCCCAATTAAACAGTGAATTGAGGTTGGCTTGTAAATTGGAGACATCCTGTAAGGACGCTATTCCACTGCACAGCTTGGTGTCATCTGCAAAGACTGAAATGGGAATTACAATCCCAGATCCTATATTGTTTATAAATATATTAAAAAGTAAAGGTCCCAACACTGAATCTTGGGGTACACCACTGACAACCCTGAAACATTCAGAGTATGAATCATTAGCCACTACTCTCTGAATACGATCTTTTAGCAAATTTTCTATCCATTTACATACAAATTTTTTCAAGCCCGTGACTTTACCTTACACATTAGCTGTGTGTGGGGAACTGTGTCAAATGCTTTTGCAAAATCCAAGTATACCATGTCCACAGCCACCTTTCTGTCCAAGGTTTTGCTCACCTCCTCATAAAAAGCAATCAGATTTGTTTGACAACTTCTGTCTTTCATGAATCCATGCTGTCTGTTGCTTAAAATATTTTTTTTCCAGCAAGAACTAATCTATATGGTCTTTTATTATACTCTCCAGTAGGTTCCCAGCTATAGAAGCTAAACTAATAGGGCTATAATTACTTGGTAAAGATTTTGACCCCTTTTTAATATTGGCACTACATTGGCCTTACACCAATCCAGTGGGTACTATGCCAGTCATTAAAGAGTCCCTAAAAATAAGAAACAATGCTTTTAAATGACAAAGTTCAATTCTTTAAGGTCCCCATGGGTGTATGCCATCCGGTACAGGTGCTTTATTCACACTTTTATTCTGTCTAAATATTTTGGATCAATCAATTGTGAGCCAATGGGATCATCTGGAGCTGTGTCCATACCATACCTATTATGGACAAGAGCTCCCCCATGCTCCTTTGTATACACAGAGCTGAAGAAGGTATTTCATAAATTTGCCTTCTCTTTGTCCCCAGTCACCCACTCTAGATTATTTTGTAAAGGGCCTACATGCTCGGACCGGACCTTTTTACTATTAAATATTTGAAGAATTTTTGGGGGTTGGTCCTGCTATCTTTTGCAATCTGTTGTTCTTTTTCAGTTTTTGCGGCCTTTATTTCCTTTTTACATATTCTGTTATATTCTTTGTAATGTTTAAAAGATGATAGTGTTCCCTTCATTTTTATATTTACTAAAAGCTCTTTTCTTATTATTTATAGCTTTTTTAACTTTGGCCGTAAGGCCCCTTAGTTCTCTTTACTGGAACTAAGGGGCCAAGCCCAACCCCTGAAAAACAACCCCACACCATAATGCCCCCTCCACCAAACTTTACACTTCGCACAATGCAGTCAGGCAAGTACAGTTCTCCTGGCAACCTCCAAACCCAGACACGTCCATTGGATTGCCAGACAAAGAAGCGTGATTTGGCATTCCAAAGAACACATTTCCACTGCTCTAGAGTCCAGTGGAGGCGTGCTTTACACTACTGCATCCGATGCTTTGCATTGCACTTGGTGATGTAAGGCTTGGATGCAGTTGCTCGGCCATAGAAACCCATTCCATGAAGTTCTCTATGCACTGTTGTTGTTCTAATCTGAAAGCCACACAAAGTTTGGAGGTCTTTAGCTATTCACTCTACAGACAGTTGGCGACTTCTGCACAATGTGCGCTTCAGTATGTGCTGACCCCGCTATGTCATTTTACGTGGCCTACAACTTCACGGCTGAGTTGGTGTTGTTCCCAATTGCTTCCTCTTTGTTATAATACCACTAACAGTTGACTGTGGAATATATAGTAGCAAGGAAATTTCAGGGATGGACTTATTGCACTGGTGGCAACCTATCATGGTACCACGCTTGAATTGGCTGAGCTCCTGAGAGTGACCCATTCTTTCACAAATGTTTGTGGAAGCAGTCTGCATGCCTAGGTGCTTGATTGTTACACCTGTGGCAAAGGAGGTAATTGGAACACCTGAATCCAATGATTTGGAGGGGTGTCCCAATACTTTTGGCAATATAGTGTATATACTGTGTGTGTGTATATATATATATATATATACATACTGTATATAAAATCTCAGGGGTAGCCACCACTACAAGACTCACAAGATCCTTTATACTTTTTAGTATTTGTCTATTTGTGTATATATAAATAGCAGGGCCCTTTGAACGCTCTTGTATTCAATTGTATTTTAACTATACTGTCTGCTCTCACTTAGTAAAGCTATGCAAAACTGTTTTGGCTATGGAAATCCAGTAATAGTAATATATATATATATTTTTATATATATATATATATATATATATATATATATATATATATATATATATACACACAGTTGTGCTCAAAAGTTTGCATGCCCTTGAAGAATGTATACAATATGTACCATTTTAAAAAGGCAAAACACATTTCTTTTATTTCTTATAGGATTCATATTTCAACTGTAGGTCATAATAAAATAGCATAATCATAAAACAATTATGGCAATAAGTAAACAAATGAAATGACCCCTGTTCAAAAGTCTGCATACCCTTAAAACTGTATATTTCCCCCTTTAGCATCAATGACAGCGTGCAGGCTTTGTAATAGTTGTCTATGAAGCCCCGAATTCTTGCAGGTGGTATAGCTGCCCATTCCTCTTGGCAAAGTGCCTCCAGATCATCCAAAGTCTTTGGTCACCTAGCATGAAATGCACTTTTGATATCTTCCCAGAGTGACACGATGATATTAAGGTCAGGAAACTGTGATGACCACTCCAGAACCTTCACCTTTTTCTGCTGAAACCACTGGAGGGTCAATTTGGCCTTGTGCTTACGGTCATGGTCATGCGCCCCTTGTACAGCTTTTGTGTAGAAGAATGCAAATAGTTTGGCACTATTTTCTGATAGCATACTGCATGCATCTTGCCATTAATTTCTACAAGATTCCTCATGACTTTAGAGCTCACCCCCCCCCCCAAAAAAAAAACACATCAGTGAGCCAACATCATGCTTCACAGTGGGGATAGCTGTCTTGCTATTATAGATCTTGACCCTCTCCAAACATAACGCCTATGGTTGTGACCATAAAACTATATTTTGGTCTTGTCAGAACATATTGCCGTGTGCCAGAAACTTTGAGGCATGTCAAGGTGTTGCCTGGGGCTTTTTTGTTGCATTGGTGTAGTTAAGGCTTCTTTTAGGCAACTTGATCATGTAGCTCATTTTTGTTCAAACATTGTCATATTGTGCTCCTTGAAACAACCCACACCGTCTTTTTCCAGAGCAGCCTCTATTTCTCCTGAGGTTACCCATAGGTATTTCTCTGTATCCCGAACAATTCTTCTGGCAGTTGTGGCTGCAATCTTTCTTGGTTTGCCTGACCCTGGCTTGGTGTCAAGAGAACTCTGAATTTTCCACTTCTTAATATTTGAACAGTACTGACTGGAATATTCAAGGCTTTGGGTAATTACCTATTTATATATCCTTTCTCATCTTTATAAAGTTCCATTACCTTGTTACGCAGGCCTTTTGACAGTTCTTATCTTCTCCTCATGGCTCAGTATCTAGCCTGCTCAGTGCATCAAAGTGAGAGCTAACAAACGCATTGACTATTTATATCCAGGTGCTAATTTCAATATAAAAATCCACAGATGTGGGAAATTAACCATTAAGTGCCATTTAAGCCTGTGTGCGTCTGTCACCTTGTGAGTCTGTACCAAGGCCAAAACATTCCAGGGTATGTCCTTTTTCAGATGTCTTTAAGTGGGTCTCTTGACATGCAGGGTTCTCTTTGCCTCTTCTCCAGTGCTGGCCAGTCCTCAATGACACATAAGGGTTGCTGACATGAGGACCTTAGCACCATTCTTTGTGTCATTGTACTGAGATTGCAGGCCACTGGGTGTCATTCTTGGTGGAAGAGAACTGCCCTTGGAAGGAATGAGAAAGACAGTGCCAGAAAGGAGGCAGCTATAGCTACTTTATCATTTTACCAATGGTAATTTACAAATAACAATTGAAATTGGGCTTTAATGTATAAAAAGCGCAATGAGCAAAGATTAATCAATAGCAGCTACTCAAACTTTACTCTGCCACTCCCATGCTAGAACAAGATGAATACTCAGACAAAAAAAGTAAAAAAACAAAAAAAAACACCCCCCCCACC